TATAAAAAAGATGTTAAGCTTAAGATTTTACGACGGTTAACACGTCTTGTGAATCCCCTAAATGTCTAATTGGGTTGATGGTGCATTAAAAAGTTCTAAAATAAGCTTCCCTTCCATTGAGCGGACACCTCTCTTGTGCGGACAAAAAATTACTGACGGTGAGTGTCCGCCCAAGGGAGGTTTCACTGTATTTATATCCGCCTGGATTGAAGTTTTAGTTGCATTTGAAGTTCGAAAACGTCCGGTGTATGTCAACGATCCCTAAAGAATAATGAAAAAGGCTGGTAAGTTTAACATAACTCGTATAAAGTTCTACAAAGCGAATTTCCTCAGAGTTAAGTTAACGCAAGGATACTGAAAAAAGCAATGGAAGGAAGAATTGTTATTGATCTTAAGTCGCCTAGCTTAAAGATTTACTTCCCAAATTGAGCACTATTTTTAATTCTTATTTAAATTGATCTAAAGCTACCGATTCCCATATAAATATTCAAGATTAAAGGCATGCCGATGTTGTTCGCGTGTCTAATAAATTTACGTGCATTAGGTCAAATTAATTATATGTACGGGTATGGATTTATGAATAAGTAGCAAAAGTACTAAACGACCTAGTTTCGTGATGTTTTCCACGTTACAATGCATTAACTTACTACGCGGAAAAATGCTGTAATGCTGAGTGCACATCTTGATATTAATTTGCTTCTGACGGGTATAATCAAAATCAAAAATCAAATATTTCGATCTAGGAAATTTGAGGTACACATTGCAGATCGAGCTCCCTGGAATGCAGGGAACCCATACACCAAACCTAATGTGCAGGTTTGGAACACATATGGATCTAAGCTTGAAAATGGTAGAACTGGGGCTGGAATTTTTGGGCCGAACTTCAAAAACTCAATAACAATGGGTAGCTACCCCTTCATTTTTCAGGCGGAGTTTAATGCAAACGAAATTTGTGGCAAAGAATGTCTTAAAAGGGGCACCTCATCTGCATTATGTCGGAGAGTCACGCAGCCCTACTGGCCCTGAAGTTCCACAAAATAAGTTCTCAGCTAGTATATGATTGCTACAATATCCTAAATGCTCTTGGTGCCAAGAATACAGTTTTATTAGGAAGGGTATCAGTTCTTGAGGAACATGAGGGACATGATGGCAACCAGGAGGCCCACTGCCTAGCGAAACAGGGAGCCACCGCAGTATTTTATGGTCTGGAACCCTTTTATGGGCTCAGCGAAGCACACATAAAGGGGACCACAAATAACTGGGTAGACAAAAAGCTCAACAGGCATTGAAAGGAATGTCCAGGGCAGAGATAAGCCAACTCTGGGTACTACATGGGACACTGATCCCTGCGCTATCACCTCAGTAAAATTATTCTCTCAGAAACAAACGTCTGTTGCTTTTGTGAGCTGAACGAAGAAACGCCAGAACACATTCTCTGTGAATGAGACGCTCTCGCAGACTAGTTCACATATGTGGTGCTACACTTAATCCATTTGTAATTTGGAGCAAAACGTGGTGGGGGCCACGCACAATAATGCACTTTAGAGGTCGCAGTGCTTATGGCGCATAATTTTTTTTTACTTCTAAATCTAATAAAATTACTTGTGCATACACATACATACTTATATACATATGGATATGAAAGCCAAGTTTGATTTAATTGATTGAATGACTGACACTTTTCTTCTTTGTTTCATTGCAGATTTTTCTTCAATAAATGAGAGCAAAGGCTGTTGTCGTTGATCGAGACTTGAATAAAATCTGGCGTAGCATTTAATCGCCAGTATTCAACTGCCAACCGTTGTTACGGATTTTAATTTCTTACAATTTTTCTTCAGTTTAACGCTCAAATAAATTAAAAAAAAAATGCCGAAAAAGGGAAATAGTCTGACAAAATGGCAGCACAGCAATCGGAAAGTGATTATTGCCATTGCCGGCTTTTGCTTGGGTATTTTCGGTGTTTTGTGTGGCATGTTTTGGGAGCAGATATTCAATAGTATTGTGGAGAAGGTGAGAAGTAGGAAATTGTGTAGATACTGATTAATATACACATTTAAGTGATTTTTAATGGACATATGCATGTATGAAGTACGTTTGCGGTCAATTGCTCCGTTAGCAACAAATTCAAATTACTAATTTATTTTAGTCTAATAATTTTATTGATTACACCGGTCAACAAAAATTTGATTTCTTTGGGTTTCTGTTCGCACGCTTAGATTCTCATTCCAAACATTAAAAAAAAACACTTGAATTTTCATTTTTAGTTCTTAAAGTTTGCTTTTGTCGGAAGAAGTTCTGCGCAAAAATACTTCCGCCGCTCTTTTCCCGCAACACAGAAAGGAGTATACGTTATTTTACATTTATATGTTATTGTTTATCAATGTAATATGTTATTGTAATATCAATGTGTAATTTAAAGTAAAATTATAAAAAAAAAATATAAAAAGTAGTGAATTTTCCAAGAAAAATTAAAAATTGCTCTAGTTTTTACAAAAGCAAACTTTGATCAAAAAAATAATTTTTTCCCTTATTTTTAGCGTAGGAGAAACTAGAATTTCACATGTAGAAGTCAGACCCAAAAATCGTGTTGACTGGTGTTATTTGCCCCTTTACTAACCTTTTAATCGAACCAATTGATATTATTAACCTAAATGAGCCATAAATATTCGTAAAAGCCGCACGAGACTTTCAGACACGTGTGTACAATTTGAAACTTTTGTTGTCAACTCATGTAAACTTATTTATATTATTTGTTTAAGTACATTTGAGTAGTTTTGTTTGCAAATATTGTTGGTTGTGCCATTGACAGAATATTATTTAATGAACTTATGTAATAGTTCATATATGTCGACTTTATGATCGGTTATTTATTATAAGCAAGCCAGCACGTGATTTGATAAATGAAAATATATATTGCAATGCATACAATGAACCATTTAAATGACTTGCATACTTACCTACCTTTGGGTTGAAGAGTCTCGTGCGCACGTGCGCATTAATTAATCCATTAATAGGGAAACAACTTATCTTCATAGTTCATGTAACCTTGTCCATATTTATAGCGACCAATTGTATCTTGAAAGTCCTTGTATGCAAGGCCAATTGCAATATGGACTGTAGAGATATTGAGATGATTATTTATCAGGAAATGAGCTGCTTAAAACATTTTACTTTACTTTTGCATGCAATGGAACTCCTCATTGGTACAGAGACACTGGCGAACTACAAGAATCTCTAGATAAACCTTAAAATGCAATTCGACTTGCCTTTGATTGTTAGATTGATTTGGCTAGCTGTGCGTCAGGGAGGGGTTCACTGAGGCTCTTCGGCGGAGTCGCAATGACGATATATAGATCGATTGACCAGATCCCTAGCTTATGCATGCGAGTGGCAAATTAGCCTGCAGTTACCCGTAAAATTCTTAGCCCAGCTTTGGGAAGGTTTATGAGTCGCCTATATCTCTTTACATTATAGTTACCTAGCAGGCGCTTAGCTTGAGGAAGACCCATTGTATTTCGCCTTAGTGTGGAATTTACGCTTATTTTATTGTGTTCGGACCTATCGGCTTCCTCATATCCTTCGACTGCTTTGTGCCCTGGTACCCATATAAGTTGAATAGCATTTTTCTTAGCAATGACACTAAGCTTCTGAATGCACTCTAGCACTTATGACAACTTGACCACGAATGATGTGATAGTCCGATTTCAAAAATTGTCAAGGCGGTTTTTAAGGGCGCGGTGGAGTTCGCTGAATACACATATAAAGCATAAGTGGGCAGTGCCACGCCAATTTTCCTAAATTTTATTAAAAAATTGATGAATTCCTTAGTTTCACTGCTCAAAAATTCTGATCGTACCCAATGAAAACTCGCAACAAGCTACATAAGTCTAACAATATGTATATTTTGCCCTATTATAGTTGTCAACGTTGACGAATGTAGATGTAATTTTTTCGTCAAAAAATAGCCCTCGTCAGTCCGACTCCGGTTTCGCTGACCAATTGATTTTGTAAGGACGACCTTTCCGCAAAAATACTGTGTGGCCAGCGTAGCTGGCGTTGGACTTGCGAGGGATATTTATTGTCGAAAGAACTAAATCGACGCCGACAACCATTATGGGGCCGATTGTTATACTTCATTTTCAAGTTCTATTAATTCCCTTTTCAAAACATGTTGGACTTATGAAATCGAATGAAAAACTGTCAAGTTGCTAATAGATAAGTGCAGTAAGTACAAAAATAACGGTCTTTTAATTAAAAAACAAAATTGAGGGTTCAGGAACTATAAAAAACCTATGTATTTTCATGTTGTACTCGACCTATACTAAGTTTTGTTTCTGGTGTGTTCGGGATTTTTTTTTTGTAGCACCGTGTACTCGTTATTTTGGACATATTTTTTTTCGATAGTTTTCAACCGTTATGATAAAGACTGCGTTTTTATGACCGTTTTAAAAATTGTATGCTTTAAAAGTTAAATCCAAAAACAATGGCTACAATATTATCGAAAAAATACAAAAAATTGCGATTATTGTTGATCGAAAAAATAAAAATCATAAAATAACGGTTCAATCGGAAAAATAGAAATCCAATTTTAACGGTAAAAAAAATTTGATTTTCATTATAAAGATCACAACCGTTGCGGTCGCTGCGCTCAACTCTAAGGTTTAAGCAGCTAAGAAGAATCTCCAAGATGGGGCGCTGTTTTTAAAACCTTCTTAATGACACTGTCTGTCTTTTATTAAATTTGCTTAGGCATTAATTTTTGTGGACTATTCCGTGCCCTTGAAGTGTGTGCTCACGGAGCATTGACTCCTAAACTAAAACTTAGACCTTAATCGTTTCTTAGTTAGTTTATTTTTCGATTCTACTTTGACAATCCTTCTTCTGCTTTTCTTTCGCCTAGGAAATGATTTTACGCCCCGACTCACAGGTGTACGACAAATGGAAGACTCCGCCTATGGCTCTGAGTTTAGATATCTACCTCTATAATTGGACGAATCCAGAAGATTTTAAAAATCTTAGTGCTAAGCCAAGTGTAGAACAACTTGGTCCCTATCGGTTTACCGAGAAACAGGATAAAGTCGATATACACTGGAATCCAGAGAATGCTTCTGTGACGTATCGCAAAAAGAGCGATTTCTACTTTGATGCGGAGGGAAGCAATGGCAGTTTGGATGATGTGATAGTCACCTTAAATGCCGTAGCATTGGTAAGTGTACATGGTTACATAGAGATTTATTTTTATTTGAAAATATTTACAATTTGCAATTTTGTCCTCCTGTATAGTCTGCTGCCGGAAAGGCAAAGCGCTGGAACAGTGTACGCCGTAATTTGGTTGATGTTGGCCTAAAATTATACGGCCAGGAGATGTCTATTGCGCGTACAGTCGACGAGATGCTTTTTACTGGCTACAGCGATGATATGTTGGAAATGGCGCGTGCCATGCCACTTTTTGGCAAGGATGTTGAAGTGCCGTTCGATAAATTTGGCTGGTTTTATACGGTGAGTATAATAGTATAAGTAATAGAATATGTTAGAAAAGGAATCGCCACCTAAAGGTGAATAGGTGCCAAGTACATTCTTTTTTTCACATTTAAGTTGATACAGAATGTCAGGTAATACGGAACTACATACATCGATTTTTCGTCTCTCAAAAAATGGACTTGCCACCTTTTCACCTTCTTGGGTGACGAAATTTTTCTATTGTCGAAAATGTGGGAAGTAATTTCTTGAGGCGGCCGAGCTATCAGGCTCGTAGAAGATATTTTTCTCTTCTCTAAAACTGTTATCCTTATTCTAACTCACAGCGAAATGGAAGCACCGATTTAACTGGCGTCTTCAATGTCTACACTGGCGCAGATGACATTTCGAAAATCGGACAAATGCACACATGGAACTACAAACAACACACGGGTTTCTTTCAATCAACTTGTGGCCACATCAACGGTTCAGCAGGCGAATTTTATCCACCATACTTGAAGGAGAATGGCGGCGTTGCGCTCTATACGCCCGATATGTGCCGTACAGTGCCGTTGGACTATGTGGGCACCACAGAGGTAGAGGGCTTACGTGGCTTCAAATACAGTGGTGGAGCGCGTTCAGTTGACAATGGTATGCGTGTCTTTTTGAAATTTCTACGTGTATTTTTTAAGTTAAATTTTCAAAAATTTTCCTTGCAGGCACCCTATATCCTGAAAATAGTTGCTTCTGCGGCGGCGAATGTGTGCCCTCGGGGGTAATGAATATTTCTTCATGTCGTTTTGGCTCGCCTGTATTCATGTCTTATCCTCATTTCTACAATGCTGATCCGTATTATGTACAACAAGTAGATGGCATGCAGCCAGAGCAGGATAAACATGAGTTCTATATGATTTTAGAGCCGCGCACAGGAGTTGCTTTGGAAGTCGCTGCACGCTTCCAAGTCAATATGCTCGTTGAACCTATTCAGGGTGTAAGGTGAGTAGCCTTTTTTCGCCCAGTTCGAAAAGTAATATAGCCTTAGTACTTTCGGCTTTGAAAATGATTACGTTTTTAAATGCTATCCCGAATAAATAAATTGGTTCATATAAAAAGGTTCCGTGGATTTTTTGGTGAATTTTTAAAAGCAAGTTTATTTACTGAATCAATTTCAATCAAGTAATTATTAATATCTATGACCGTTTGCGATTTTCGGGTAGATTCATATTTTCATCGGTGAAGAACTTCTGAATTTTCAGAGACCGAACCAAATGGAATTCAGACGGATTATACGGTGGATGAATTTATACTTCCCAACCAAGTTTCGTCAATTTGTTCCGGTCATAAAAAAAATGTGGTCTGGCATTGTCATGATGGAACACAACCGCTTTTCTGTTGGCCCATTTTGGTCGGTCTTTATTGATTGCTTTGTTTAACCGATCGAGTTGCGCACAGTATAGGACCGAATTGATCGTTTCCTTCCACTCCCAACACTCTACATAATTTTGTTTACCGTCAATCCAGGCTTTGAAGTCGTTTGTAGAAGGTCAACGGTCTTTGACCTGGATCGCTTGCGTGGCTTATTCTCGTATTCAGTCCATTATCCATCGCCCGTAATTATTTGCTTTGAAAAGGGTCCGATGCGTTTCACTCTGATTTCTATAGCGTTAATTCATGTGGCATCCAAACATCAAGCTTCTTTGAGCAGTCTGTTTTTTTATGATTCCAAACTGTCATTTGGTTGTCGTTTAGTTCCTCCGCTATCACTGACAGACTGCATGCCCTCTTGCTCAACCATTCGCATGATTTTATCGACTTTTTCTGAGACTGGCGGATCAGAGCGAGGTGCATCTTAGACATCAAAATTTCCGCAACGGAACCGAGAAAACTGATCCTGTGTCCGGCTTTCACTCACAGCTTTCTCACCGTACACTTGAAATAAAATTTTCGGCATCTTTTCGCAGCGTTTTCACCTTTTTTATAGTATAAATGCATTATATAACGTAGAAGCAGGGAGGTACCATGCTTCACCTCCTCTGAAACTGGCACAAATTACACAGTACCACAAACCCCTCTAACCCCGCAACACAAAAGGGACTATGTCTACCTTATGTTTTGATGTCGCTGAATCCAAATACGTTGTCTGTTTGACCACATCAGGCCAGGATATAGGGCAATTCAAGGTCGAACTAAAAAAATCACCATTAAAACTAAGTCTAGGTTCCCATAGATTTCATCGGGTGCTGAATCCAAATCTGGTGTCCTTGAATGGTCCTTGATCGTGATATGAATAGATTAAATTGACTACGAATTCAAATCCAGCGACCGCAAAAACCTAAATGTACCTGTTATAGCCTGTAAACGACGGATTTTCTATATTTGACCTTGAATTTACCTGTTGGGGTCAAACGAACTCCAGATTTAGATTCAGGAACGTTAAAATAGTCCCTTTTGTGTTGCAGGGTTAAAGTGTTCTTACACGATATGTATTTCCATCTGTAAATGTGACTGTTTCGATACATATGTAATTGCAACTGAATGTCAAATTCATAGCATTTAATTAACTGTTCAAAATCAAGCACTTTCATAGATGCTTGTGGTTCTCTGTTATCGCACGTTCCAGATATTCTCAGTGAAATAATGCCACTTTCAAATTAGAAGATGTTAACCAAAAAAAAAAAAACAAAAATAATAATTTAAAAATTTCTCTGTTTTCCTTACAGCCTGTACGAAGACGCACCACGCGTTTTCTTCCCGCTCATCTGGTTCGAACAAAAGGTACGCATCACACCCGATCTTGCCGCCGATCTGCAGATGTTGCCGATTATTCTAATGGCTGGTCAGATATTCGCCTGCCTTTGCTTTGCTGTTGGTCTAATTCTGCTCTGCTGGTATCCCATCGAAATGTTATGGGCGCGTCAGCGATCTGTTGATCTCAAAACTATGCCAACAACAACAGTGGAAAATGGCAAACAGACATCGAAATTCTCCAGCGGCGAAGAATTAAAGACTCGACCGCCGCCTCCAGCTGTAATGGCCAATAATAACAAAAATCTGGATAGCTCGCCGCTGCTGGAGCGCGGCAATGGAAAGACGGTGATAATAATGCCAAAGTCGGAGACAAATGAAAGTGTTGCCACAGATAATACGGTTGTAAGTGATGATGCTGCTACTGACACAAAGGGGTAATGAGGGAGTTAATGGTGTTTTCGGGTGCTTACCAAATATGGACGTCCTATTTTATGCCATTTTTCATAAGAATTTCATATCAAACGTATGTATGTAGTAGTTGGTAATTTACAGTTTTGTGATTTATTAAACTGTTTTATTTGCAGTTTTTTAAGTGAAACTAGTGACCTACATACATAGCTGACCAGTTGGTTGAAAAAAAATTGATATTTGAGAAAAACCGTTAGATTAATAAGCATAGTTATGACATGTTTTTTTTTGAATAGAATACTCCAATTATTAGAATGATGGCAATTCTTTTTAATTAGGAATTTCATATGTATACATGTATGTACATACATAAGTACAAATTATTGTATGTATGTATTCATACTAAATAGTGTACTCCTAGTTATTTATAGATAAATGCCAACAGGTATGACAGTGAACAATATTGAACAAAATTTAATATTTTAGACTTTAATTAAAGTCTTCATGGGCATTGATCGGCATTAAATTTTAATCGATACTTTTAGAAATTGTAGTTAGTTTTTAACAAATATTGATACATATATGTACGTATACTATACGAAAATGTAGGGCAAACTAGATGTGATATACGAAATGTCCAAAAACAAAAGTGGCCTCATTAAAATCAGATATTACTTAAAATAAGTCTATTTACCAGAAAATTTTTACCAAAAATATGTTGAAGAATATTACAAATGCAATTTTGTACTTTTATATGCAGCGAAGTAATATTTTTTTATATACATAAATAACAACACTTGTTCTAAAATAAACGTGCATAAATGCTTGAATTTAATATGAAGTAAGCATACAAATGATGACAAAATAAACTGGTATATCGAAAACATTCCTAGATTCGCAGAACTTGTAAGCTAGAGACCTAAGTACTATCTAAGAAGTAATTTTGTATTCAATTAAAATTTAAAATCATATTAAGGGTATTTATTCCCTTAGGCAGGGTAAGACCACGAAAATTTCGAAAACCACAAAACTTTGATTGTACTTTTTAAAATTTAAGTGAAATAATTTTCGAGTTTTGCACCTGTTCAAGTTTAAGGGAAACATCAAAATAAGGCAAATATATTATTTATTGTAGGTATCAACCGCATATCAACGAAACAATATGCGCTATTGTTCTGTAATAAACACAAAAGCTGGAAATTAAGTTTCTCAAATATTTAATGCCATTTATGAAACTCTTTACATAGTTATAGTATTTCAATTAAATATGTTTTTATTCAATTTTATTTGCCGAAAGTTTTATGTAACAATTTATTTACTTATATTATTTTTAAAGTTTTTTACAAATAAAGAAAAAAATATTTAAAAACTCTCAGATTTTTCTCTCTTTGCCCTAATTATCTCTATTTCAGTAGTAACCTCTTTTTAAATGACTACATTTCATTAATCTGTTGGAAAATATTAAGAAAATCAAAAGAAGTTGTAATTTTTGTCGTTGGAAACTTTTATTTCATGCATAATTACTTTACAAATATTTGCAAATATTTGGGCCCTCCACCCGCCAGCGTTCCAAGTGAGCAATTGTTCAGTGCAGCCGGCCTTAACACAACTTCACGACCCAAAAATTACGAATTTGACCACCAAAACTAAACAAATAGTGATAAAATAAAGAAGAAAACTACTTATCAATAATTACTATTAGTGCTGCCATATGGTATAATTTCGATACGACAATTAAGTGTTAGCAGAAATTGTAAACTCTCAACAAGTGTTTACACTACAATTTTTAGTTATCTGTGCAACTATCTTCAAAGTTGACCCAGCCAACCAGCCAAATTTGCACATAAAGAAAAATCGTCATTGGATCACAAAAATCGTCAAATCGTTATGGCAATAAAAAATCTTCAAAATGACGACTAAATCGTCAACCTGGCAACACTGGGTACAAGGCACGTAGTTTGCTGTAACAATTTTGACTGTCCCCTCAGTTTCGAACTCATCTCGTTGCGGTTGAGCAGTTAACGGATTACTCCACCAAGTACCTTTGTATCCAATTGAAATTTAGAAGTGAAGTCCAAACCCTCTCCAAACTATATATTTTATCGGGTGAAAGTCGTGGTCTACTCCATCTCAATACCATAGCCAAGAAAAAAAAATAATAATAATAATTCCTGGAAAACATGCATTTTGATTAAGTAAATACTAGAACATCTCGAAGTATTTCCGTAGTTCGTAAAAAAATATTTATTCAAATATTTAAATTTTCTAATTCTATGTGCATTTATGTGCAATGCTTTGGTTTGAATTTGTTGTTTTTTTTTTAATATAATCTCTACTAATTTTACCTAAATTAGCACTAAAGAGAGAGTAAGAAATTTGTGGAATGGAAGCTGCAGCGAGTAAGATGGATTTCGCTTGATGATAGGCCGTAGGCAGAATGTTTTACATGTTAATTGTATGAAGTTTGACAATCTGTTTTTTACGCAACCAATGCTTGAAATGGGAGTACTAACTGAAATCTTATAGGCTCCCATATTTTGAGACATCTATTTGAATACCTCAAACAACTAAAATCACAACATTACGGCTATAGAGATTGCATACAAGTTGGAATAACTTAGAACTTAAACTTGTTTTTATTTAAATGTCTATTAATGATTAGTCTACTTTGTCACTTTCTTCCCCCCAACGATACCCTCCCTAAAAATAAACCACTTTTCGTTTGTTCCATTCGATTGCGATCTCCATCAAACTGGTGCCACGTACGAAATCTACCGCCACAATATTCGCAGTTGCGCCCAACTCGTCGCGATAAAGTTGTGAAATACGCCAATTGACTTGATCGGCCATTTTTCGCAGGCCACCGTATTTATCGAGTATAACACCCCACGTGTCGGGTGTAAGCTCAGCCATATCCGCAACAGGGCGACTTGATAAGCGACTGTAGTGAAAAAAAAAACAGAAAATAAAATCAAATATTGCTTGGCATATATACATACATATCGTTACTTTAATATAGAAAGGCCCTATCTACCATTTTTTGTTTCTTTGCAGCGTAGTTTTAAAAAAAGTAAAGTTCCTCAGTTTCAATTTTTTCCTTGCACTGATTTTTAATAAACACTGGAACTAATTTTTTGATGTAGTAGTTGATTTTAATTTCTATTAAGATTTTAGTGAGTAATCTACGCACTTTATAATGGTGCTGAATTTCGAAAGAAAATGAGTTAGGCTCTTTCTATATTTAGGTAACGATATACAAATTTTTTTTTTTTAATACTGAACTCACTCAAGAGAAGTTTTAGTATTCGTGGCCTACTTACGACACATCAAATTTGTTTATCGAACGCAAATGCCTCTCCAAATTCGTCCAAGTTTGCACATTGCCCCAGCGTTGTTCCACCGATCCGAACAGTGTGTGTGGAAATTCGGCTACCACTGCACCCTTATCGTAAGCCAAAATAACATTTTGATGACGAGACCAAATATCATTCAATGTTGCGCGCCAAGATGCCGATGGATGTACAATAAGGTCTCCAAATTGTTGTTGTAAGTAACTGACCAGCAGACGATGAACACCGAGGCCCTTGCCGAAACCTGCATGGAGAGTTTCACATTTAGCGAGAGCGTCAGAAGTAATTTATTGTAGCTACATTTTCTGCAAAGGCTAATAAATGCCTATCTTAACAGCTGCACGCCGGGCAGTAGAATTGCATAACCCTAAACCTTAAAACAAACAATCGGATTCTAGACTTACAGACCGCAGGTTCTCAAACACAAAAGCCAATCATGACTCTCTTAACGGGTGAAAAGAACCTTCGCCAATTGAAGTTTCTTCCACCCTAATACTGGCGGACAAAGTTATGCACCTGGGTATCATCTTGAACAGGAGACTAACTTGGAATCGCAATGTTGAAGAAAGGTTCGCGAAATCGCGGTAAATACCTTCCCTGTAAACATTCATTGTACACTTAAGGCAACTTCCAGTGCATTTAGATACATGACACCCACCGCCCTCTGCTTTGGAAAACTGCTTTACCAGACGGATAAAAAGGTTCCTTGAGAAACGCATAGGAAGAAGATACAGATTTGGGAGTAGAGGTTAGGAAGCATCGTTTACTCGCAGGAGTTTTTTTATTGCCTGATTACTGTAGCATTTTTCCAGAATTGGCTTTCACCAAGCTACTTCTGTCGGAGTTGCTGAATCGAAGGATAAATGGCGCGCGGCGGACCCTTTCCCTACCACAGTCCGGAATTAGCGAGCTTAGGCAACGCTACCTTCATAAAAACTTTTTCTACTGCCTTTCAGACTTAAGCTCGTCAATATCATGCGATCTTCATACCCAAAACGGCATTACAACCTGGATGAAGACAACCCCTTTGACCGAAAATAACCTAACTCAGCCTGAATTATACTAAAAGCCCAATCAGGAGGAACTTGGGTGGGCAAATATTAAAAATCTTAGTAGGCGGATGCATAAAACAAAGAAACTATTTTGGTAGAATGGAATCTCCCGAAGCTTATCTTTGGATAAATAGGTCAGAAAATAACTGAAACTAAAAATTTTGTACTCGCATTTTTTAAATAAAATTTTAAATTTTTCGCCATTCAGTCTACGGTGGATTTTAACGGCCTTTTAAGCTTAAATTAGTAATTAACTCACCGACCGGAAACTCTTTCAAACCAAATATCACGATCTCATTCGTTTCCAAGACAAATTCCTTCACCTGCTGGATAATTTCCGCCAGAGGCCGCTGCCTCGTAACGCCATGATTGATATAGAACTTATCCGGTGTGTTGCGATAGTAGCCGACGCGTATATCCAAATAGCGCGCTCCATGCAGCAATTGACCGCGAATATCGTCGTCCTGCGTCAATGCATATTTGGTGACGAGCGTTTCACGGAGCAGTGGATCAAAATTGGGTCTGTACGAACCGGAATCATGTGTGCCGGGTATGAATAGATCGCGCATACGCATACCACCCACCACCGTATGCATTTCGCGCATCCAACGCGGATAGGCGCGCAAGCAAGCGCTCTTCAATATCGCACCGCTGTCATTCACATAACTCGCCCAATAGCCATAGCAGCCAGTTGTCGCGGTCACATTGCGCGAGAGCTCATAATCAAAGGGCACACCGGTGGTGAACCATTGTGAGGCAGCGCCTGGATGTAGCGCTGCTACAATATCATTTGCGCCATTATTTGAAATCCAATAATGACGTGGGGGTGTTGTAGCGCTGCGCGGCATTTCAGTCGGCATGCCGTCCAAAGAGCCAGAGCCGCTTACGAAGGTGTTGTTTGCATTTACATTCGCATCGTGTTCAAGCAAGTAGCGCGTCGGCGAGGATGTGCTGCGCTCAGTGATGCCATCGATTGGCACAAAACCCCTGCCCTCCGCCTTGTCGAATGCGGCCAGCGGTGTGCCGGTGGTCCATTCGACGCGCTCGAATTTGTGAGGCTCCTGCGAGGTGATCAATATGTGGTCATCGGGTAGCGCAGGCGCATTCATCCAAGATACCTCCAAGTAACGATGACGCGCGCTAATTGTCAGCCAAAGACGCAATTGATTGGGATGCGGATCAGGACGCGTGGCGCTCAAGTCGAATATGTCATCGTCGTTGTATGGCAGCGCAGAGGGCGCGGTTGGCGCAGGCAGTGTGTGGGATATGAGTAGCATAAGTAATGTGTAAGCATTGATTGTGAACAACATTCTCGAAACCATAACTGCTGCAATGCTGCAGAGTGTAACGCCTTTATGTATGTGACGAAATCACTTCGTTTCACTAAATAATCGTATCACTTTCGCTTATCGTAGTTGTCCGCACACTTGAACNGGGCAGTGTGTGGGATATGAGTAGCATAAGTAATGTGTAAGCATTGATTGTGAACAACATTCTCAAAACCATAACTGCTGCAATACAGAGTGTAACGCCTTTATGTATGTGACGAAATCACTTCGCTTGCTAAATAATCGTATCACTTTCGCTTATCGTAGTTGTCCGCACACTTGAACACAAATTGAATTAGAACACTTTTCAATTTTTTTCTCTTGGTTTCGGTTAATTTTTCTTCGACACTTGTGTTGCTGCTTTGAGAAATTTAATTTATTTTTTTTTAACGCTCGTTATTCACTTAAGAAACAACCCGCCGTCTTTCGCTTGCTCAGTGCGCGCTCAGATCAATTGCATTCAACGTGGCTGGCTGACTGTTTGGCTGCGCGTGCAATTTCAACCGTCCCCAACGGCTGTCTGAACCGTTCTAGATTTGTTTATAGTAAATTTGATGCTTTCAACATAAAACAATACTTGGAAAGTTTATTCAGTACATATGTACATACATACCTATCAACTACGATATTCGCATTTTTACTTTTGTCTACTTGCGCGCAAACAAGTAAAGAAGATAGAGTGTTTGGAAAAACTGCTTTACAAAATAGGCCATTTCCACATACCCGTTTAATTGTAAAAACAATTAGTGAAATTTGTATGCCTAACTATTTGAAAAGCGATAAAAGGCAAAAGATAAATTGAAGCGTAAATTTCAACCAAATAGGAATCGTTCAACCGTTTAACTTATTTCCGCAATAAATTCATTTATCTTTCCTTAGTTACTCCTCAATCGGTATGTGGAAGTCAAGGAAACAACGAAGCATCAGCATGGTTTCCGTAAAGTGCACAACACCACCACCGCACTTAATGCCGTAAATACCTAGGTGACTCGCTGGTAGCGCTAGACTTATCAAAGACGTTTTACAACGTTGCTATTTCACGCTGCTTAAGAACATCGAGGCATCCTCTCTGCCACAAAGACTAAAACGGTGGACGTCAAATCGCCTGAGTAGTCGACAATGCTCAGTAACTTTTCCAGATCAAACGCCAAAGTCGAAAGGGATTAAACGAAAGGCCACACAGGGCGGTGCCCTATCCCCGCTACTGTTTAATTTTTTATATTTCGAAGCTTCTTAACGCCCCCGGAGGCAGTTTATCTGATCTATTTCGCCGGCAATTCTCGATATTGGCGCACGCCAATGGAATTGATGACCTGTGTTTAAAGTTAAATGACTATCCTGCCGATCTTTCTTGCGGAGCGTAACCCTCTCCTCTACGAAATCAAAGGTGACCCATTTTATCAGCTGAATGGAGAGGTCAAGCTGCAATTGCGCATCCACGTCGACGACATACTAACTCGGACAGTGAATGACTCTAAAATTTTTTGGAGGTTATCAGTGACAACAGGCTCTCATTCTCCGCACACACAAACGCAATCGCCAACAAAGTACAGAACCGTAATCGAGCCATCAATTCACTCGTTCGCAGCACGTGTTGGCATGATACAAGGAAATTGTACCCTCAGTTCTAAATTATGTTGAAAGGAATAATAGGACGCAGTGGACGAAGCTAAAGACACATGTCACACTCCGAACATAAGCTGCACAACTTCTTACGACGCTTGAATACCACCTGCACAGCGAGGCCTCGGTGCGACCAGTCAGAGCCCACAATTTAATGCTTAGCAAGAACAGGAACTTTGCTGAAAACAGAGCCTTTCCATTCGGGCACTTCAGAGGGCACCTCCGTAGACTTAAAAACGATATTCAAACTATTCCATAAGTTACCACCGTACCCGACGACGATACTGCTGTCGTTCCCACGACAGTCGGGTCTACGTAACCGGAACGAACCAGATTTATATTTGGCCAAGGACTGTCACTCCAACAACACTCCCCAAAAACTCTTTGGGGAATTTGTATGCTGCTACAACAACAACAACAACACCAGCGATACTGCTGTTGACTAAACTCGTACCTATCTAGACTCGACCCCTATTTACCAAATATAGGACCGGCATATGAAGGCTCCCCCACGACAAAAGCCTTTCGATCGCATACCCACTGAAACCCACTCAGCTAACACTCATCTCCCTATGGTATGTCCCCGTAAGCTTTCTGTGCCTACCGTTAACAAATTTTCTCTCACCGTGTTTGGGTTGATAATTGCAAAATAAGATGTTGTGTATCGGCGTCAAAAAATGTAGGCTGGATATTCTCTACATTAAACTAAAGTAAAAATTAGATTTTAACACGAGAAGCAATAAAATATTCATATAAACATACATATGTATCGGAGTTTTTGTTATGATAATATTATGATTTTTTTTTTAAATGAATTTGTGGCATAGGAGTTTTATTTAAAAAATTCGAGTATTTAGTAAATAAGAAAACCATAAGATATGGCCGAATCGATTTTAATTATACTAGTGTTCGCCCAGCGGTTGAAATTCAACCGATAAAATTAAGGATAGTTTATGTAAGTTGAATGAGCTAAAATAACATTAGTTGGAATGGGTTAAGTGGAGGGGAGTTTAGCTTAGTACTTGG